CAAAGGCTAAACTGCAATATTTTTGCCGAAGGACAACGTTGAAGCAGAATAAAATAATTTATTTTGGTCACCTAAGGGTTAAAGAATGCGAAATAATTGTGTATGTATGTACTAGACGTCTGCATGATTACATTCATAACATACGTCTAAATGAATACATTCGAATCGAATAGAATGGAGTGAGTGGAATGATGAAAATGAAATGACATTGTACTTATGACAGGCTTGCACACATTCCTCTCTTAATTCAAGACGTCAAACGAAATGAGAGTGAATGAACGAAACGAAAAGTGAAATGAGAGATTTGGCTATGCGTTGAATACTCGAATCATTCGAGTTCTTGCTTAGGATTTCTGTACATTCCTTTCTTGAGAACTGCAGCACAAAGTCAAAAAATTTTGCATTTCAGCGAGCAGCGCGGCTTCGGAACGTATATTTTCAAACTCAAGAAATTTTTACAGAATAATTACAGAAAATCGTTGTCAAATAGCCACTAATTCGGAAAATATTAACAAAATAATGTTTATGCATTCCAATTTAAATTAGTTGTAAGTAATTTTTAATTTAGAAATAAATAAAATAAAAAACCATAAATATAAAGCCTTTTCGGACTCGAAGAAAATTCACTGCATTTAATTGGTTTTTATTTCCTTTTATTTACATTTGCAACGCGAATCATTCGAATGCAACGTCTCTGTTTTCAACGTTCTCAATTCACTCAATTCGTTTCCTTCTACCTGCTAGTTGTGCAAATGAGTAAGCGAAAGAGAGTCAACCCTCTCACTTCATGTTGGCTTTGCTCTCAAATTCATTCAACTCATTTTGAGCATTGTGCATTTGAATGTGGGTTTTTTGCCACTCATGCAGATGTCTAGTATGTACTTGCATGTATAACCTCTGCAGCCAACGCCAAAATTAAAACGATAAAATTTTATTCGACAACGCAAAATAGGGCTAAAGATTTCCGCGAATTATTGAAGATCAAATAGGGGTTCAAGATGCCAAATAATTGTGTATGTATGTACTTGCAGGTATAACCTCTGCAGCCAACGCCAAAATTAAAACGATAAAATTTTATTCGACAACGCAAAATGGGGCTAAAAGCTTCCCGCGAATTGTTGTGGATCACATAAGGGTTAAAGATGCCCACAAAACACAGCCAAAACGCACCAATTTATGATTTTATTTTATTAAAAACGTGTATATAAGTGGCTCCTATAAGGGTTAACAATTGTGATACACTGCGTCGAATTCCAACGGGTTCTATTTATTTAAGCGAAAATTCTCCAAAATGCAAATGTATGTATGTATGTACGCAACTCTAACTTGTACTGCTCTTTATTTGCAAGTACATGCAAACCGCTATGTAAACGTTTCAAAAAAACTGTTCTGCGAATCGGGAATCGGAGAGAGAACACAAAACCGTTTATTTGTCTCAACTTTAAAAATTTTCACAAAATTTTCGCACTTGATTTTTTATTAAAGGCAGTTCACATAGAATAATGGGTATTTTAAGCTTTTATAATTTTCTGAGTGCCAAAAATTAATACAAGTTGCTGGAGTGGGCAACGTATACATGCAACAAAAATGTTCGACAATTAATGTTTGGCACTGAATACCTGGTTGTTTGGCATGTTTGGCACAAACTTTCCTTTTTTTGGTCGAGTCCAACGCTGCACCGAATCCGCCAGCTAGGTTATTCACTCACACTGAGAAAAATGAACGAATGCCGAGACGACGAAAATGCACTATATGTTCTATTTTCTGTGGTGATTTTCCACGAAAATGCTAACCGAAGTCCCTGCTCGGGCGCCAATGGAAAATCCGTGAGGTTTTTCACGGAATCGAAAATGATTTAAAATTTGACTTGCGGTGTAGCAGCCTAGCTGGGGATTTTCCGTCACGAAAGAAGACGCAAAGACAACTCGAAATCAATGCAATTTATTGCGCGGGCGCAGCTATTCACGATGAGCGATTATGAACGACTGACTCACATGAGCAGTGCCAAATTCTTACGAAGTTACAAGCTTATCCGTATAAGAGTAAGAGTAAGAGTAATTTAATTTACGAGCTAGGCTTAGAGTACAAGAACTTCATTGGACTTCAATTTTTCTCTTTACTTATTATTATGTATTTATTATTCTAAATTTGTATTGACTGCTCCAACAGAATAGAAAAATTGTCATAGCTTCGATGTTGTTAGGCTTTATGCATTTTGTTCGACGTATTTGAGATCTGCAAGGGTATATAAGCTTCGGCTTACCGAAGCTAGCTTCCTTTCTTGTTATGAAATTTTTTTCTCGGTTCAAGGATAGTTCATAAATTCGATGTTGTAAAAATCATGCTCGTGGAATAAAAAACAACAACGTTATGATTTTTGCCATTATTTCTATATATATTTTTTGATCTTTCCTATGGCAGCTATATGATAGAGTTATCCGATTTTGATCAAATTTAATCCAAAATTCAATAGTAATTAGAAAACGCCATCTGGAAGAAATCAAGTCAATTCGATGAAAAACAACGGCGTAATAATTTTTTTTCTTTATTTTTTTGACCTCTTGTATGGGAGCTATCCGATATAGTCGGCCGATCCGGCTCGTTCCGACTTATATACTGCGTGCAATAACTACACAACTTTTGGAAAAGTTTCAGCAAGATAGCTTCAAAACTGAGAGACAAGTTATATAGAAACAGACAGACGGACCGACGGACAGACGGACCGACGGACAGACGGATTTCGATTCAGATCGTGATGCTGATCAAGAATATATATACTTTATGGGGTCTGGGGTGTCTCCTTCACTGTGTTGCAAACTTCTGACTGAAATTATAATACCCTTTGCTCTGCAAGGGTATAAAAACATTTTTATAGCACCTGAACCTTTTGAGAGTTTTTGTTGAATGTTTCGACCACGTATCACGTAAAGAAAATTAAATTTTGCGATCGGGAAAATTGTGAAAGTTATCCGACGGACTGGTGGAGACAAAAACCAAATTCTAAACTTAAAATTAGTATCAACAAATACTAAAAAATGTTATCGGTCGGTTATGGTCGATTAGGACAGTCGAGAAATATAAAAAACCATGCAGAGGTACTAGATCTCTCCCTTACATACGATAACCTGCAAATAAAGTTTTTACTTAGTAATGGAAGGTCTAGGCATTAACAAAACGTAAATAACAAAAATATTTTAGGAAATAAAGTAACAGATAATAATCTTGTGATTAGTAAAACTTAGAGGAACTAGTTAATCTACTCAAAAAAAAAAACAGAATAACTTAACAGAATAAAAAGCTTTAGCAAAGAATCATTATGCCCCATACTTAGTCATTTAGGCTGCGGAGCGAACCATATAGACTACCTAATTATGATTACCTAACTAGACTACGCACTACGATTTCCCTACTGCAAAATAAAGAGAATCTGCCTTTTCGTAAAAATCTTCAGAAACGGTTATTTTACCTTCTGGATTTCAAAGAGAAATTGTTTTCTTAATCTAACGAGCCCGTCGGAACTTGCTGGATCGACCGACTATACCGGATAGCTCCCATACGAGAGGCTAAAAAAATCCCACGCCGTTGTTTTTAATCATATCAACTTGATTTCTACCAGATTATGTTTTTAACCACTATCGATTTTCGAATTAAATTTTATCAAAATCGGATGACTAGATCATGTAGTTGCCATAGGAGAGATCGAAAAATATATATGAAATTAATGGAAATAAATTGACACCGTCGTTGTTTTTTATCCCACGAGCATGATTTTTGAAGTATCAAGTCTTTTGTTGGAATTAATTTCGTTTTTTTTTTGGCTAATTACACTGGTCAATACTAGTTTTGGTGCTAATACACTGTATTTTTTATCAACTTAGGACGTTATCCTGGAGTATTTGTTGATTTTAAAGAGCCTCTTTTCTGCAAGGGTTTTATAATACGTTTATTTTTAAAATTTTACTGGATGTTTGGTTAAACAGATTAATATGTAGGTATATACAGGGTGGGCCATTTAAATTTGACTCATTTGGGAACCCTGTAACTTTTGACAGCGTCGACAGATCGTCAAATGTCATACCACGTTGGAAGCGTCAGTCGAAGACATTTGATACCATGGAACAATACACTCCAAAGGAACGCGCTCAAATTGTTCAGCTCTACATTGAAAATAAATTCTCAATTGTGTTAACCCAACGTGCGTTTCGTAAAATGAATAAAGTTAAAAGTGCTCCAGTTAAAAACACAATTAAGTCTTTGTACGCAAAATTTGTAAACACCAGTAATCTAAGTAAGTCATGTATCCAGGCAACGAACAAGACGTTCTAATGAAAATATCGAAGCTGTACGAGCCAGTATTGATGAGACTCCTACGACATCGACTTATCGACGATCTCAGGAATTAGGCATCGCTCGCACTACTCTCCGACGCATAATTCATAGCGATTTGAAGATGTTTCCATACAAAATTCAAATGGCACATAAGATTAACCCAGCTGTTTATCCAAGACGCCTCAATTTTGCCAAATGGGCCATCGAAAAGTCTGAAAACGAAAAGTGGTGATTTTGACTGGCCCCCAACATCACCAGATTTGACGGCACCAGACTTTTATTTGTGGGGTTATTTGAAATCCAAAGTATACGCTAATAAACCAAAAACCTTAAGTCAACTAAAAGACAACATTAGACGTGAAATAGCCGCCATATCGTCTGCAACATTGACCAAATTCATGGAAAATGCTGAAAAAAGAATGCATTCGGCTGTCAGAGCTAATGGTGCCCATTTACGTGATATCATTTTTAATAATAATTTGTAAAAAATCTCCTTGGTCCAAAATAAATGATTTTTGGAATAAAAAAAAAAATGTCCACTTTTTTTTGTTTTTGTTTTAAGAATCAAGTGGGTCAACTTTAAATGGCCCACCCTGTATATACATAGTTTATATAGTAAGTTGTATATACATACTTACTTAACTTTTTTCTATGCCTTTTAATTTTTTTAGGTATGCCCAGTATTCACATTTTAAAATACACTCTGAGGCAGACTATTATAAGCTGGAAATAGATGGATATGAAGGCAACGCTGGTGATTCATTGAATGACCCTTGGTATGGATCAAATAATAGTCCATTTTCAACATACAACAAAGACAATGATCGAAGTTCGCTCAACTGCGCAAGTATGTTAAAGGTAAGTTTTATCTACATATATATACCTTCTGTCAAAAAAGTACCGGGACTGGATTAATTAAAACGCCTGTGCTAAACCGATTTCGGAAATTTTTTTTTTGTTATGTTGGTAACACTGTTCTGCATTACTAAGTAAAGTTTGATCGCGATCTGTGAAGTAGTTTGTTTACAGTCGCTGGTTACGTCAGTCTATGTTCTGATTGCTTGCCGAATTTTATAATGAACAACTATATTGAACAAAGAATTTGTCTTAAATTTTGTGTTGCGAACAAAATTTCTTGTACTGACGCGTTAAAAATGTTGCAGAAGGCTTATGGTGATGCAGTTTTATCGAGAACACGTGCTTTTGAGTGGTACAAAGCATTCCAAGAGGGTCGTGAGATTGTCGAAGACATGCCTCGTTCGGGACGACCATCCACCTCTCTCACCGACACTAACATCGATGCAGTCAAGGAATTTATTTTTGAAAATCATCATGTCAGCTTACGAGAGATAGCACAAGTCCTGAACATCTCTCACGAGTCAATTCGTACCATTTTGACTGACCGTTTGGGTATGAAACGAGTCGCTGCACGGCTTGTCAACGAATACAAGGTCAAAAACTCGATAAATACCATCGAACAAGCTCCGTATTCGCCAGATTTAGCTCCGTGCGACTTCTTTTTGTTTCCTCGACTCAAGTTGCCGCTTCGTGGAACCCGTTTTAGCACCATTGAAGACATTAAACAAAATTCGGCACGGGAGTTGAAGGCTATCCCGGAAAACGCTTATAAAAAATGTTTCGAAGACTGAAAGAATCGCTGGCATATGTGTATTGCATCTAATGGGGACTACTTTGAAGGCGACAAAATAAATTTGGATGAATAAATAGAAAATGTGAGTGTTATTAACCCAGTCCCGGTACTTTTTTGACAGAAGGTATATATATGTTTTTTTTATAGCTTTGCTTTTATTTATTGAATCTACTCTTAATTTTGAGACTAAGAATAAGTTGGCGAATCTTAACAATAAAATTTAACTAAGACTGCATTCTGGTTGCGCGTCCCTCAGGACGTTCGCTGGGTGGGTAAGTCATTGCGACGAAGGCGTGATTGGTTGTTCAACCTTGTTAGACCTCTCTCCAGGTGGTAAGGGTGCACCGATAGCTTTGTTAAGTACTTTACCTTCTGTTCAGCGATCACTTCTTTGACTGGTAGAATGTTTAAGTCGCGGTGTATGTTTTCGTTGCGAACGTACCACGGTGCCTCGGTGATAGTTCTCAAGATCTTCGACTGAACTCTTTGAATTATGTCAATGTTGCTATTGCTGGCGTTCCCCCATAACTGGGAGCCGTACATCCATATAGATTTAAGGACCGAGTTGTACAGCAGGACTTTATATTCAAGACTAAGAGATGACCAAGCGTTGATTAGCCAATGAAGGCTGCTGGCTTTTAGCTTTAGGTGTGTTCTTTTGGCTTCACTGTGCCGGCGCCATGTGAGTCTTCTGTTGAGATGTACTCCTAGGTATGTTACTTCGTTTGCTTGTGGGAGTAGGGTGTTGTTTAATGTAATCGGCGGGCAGTTTTGCCTGTTCAGAGTGAATGTAACGTGCTTGCATTTTAGTTTGTTCACTTTAATTCGCCAATCTGACAGTCATTTTTTAACATCGACCAAATGAAGAGCTAGCTGCGCAGTTGCTTGAATCTGGCATTTTGAGCGGCTAAGAATAGCTGTGTCATCGGCAAACGTTGATGTTGTTAGACGTGTGCTTGTCGGGATGTCTGCTGTGTACAGGACATATAAAATTGGTCCTAGCACGCTACCTTGAAGAACTCCAGCTCCAACAGTGTAATCGTCAGAAATAGCAGTGTTGCACCTCACGACAAATTTTCTGTCGTATAGGTAAGACTCTAAAATCCTGTGGGTGCTGTAGGGGAGCATTGTCTTGATCTTCTACATTAGACCTTCTAGCCAGACTCTATCAAATGCTTGAGAGACATCTAAAAATATGGCAGTACAGTACTCTCGTTTTTCGAACGCGTTTCGAATTTCGGATGTTATCCGGTTGACCTGCTCAATTGTTCCATGCTTTTCACAAAACCCAAATTGGTGTGACGGGATTCCTTCCTGGATTCTCAGGTAAGTGTTTATCCGAGTCATTAGGCATTTTTCAAACAGTTTGGATAGGCAAGAGAGTAGGCTTATAGGTCTATACGACGTGGGGATAGTGTGGTCTTTCCCCGGCTTTGCTATCATTATTATAATTGACTTTTTCTATCTCACTGGAAAGTGGCCAAGTTTTGCGATGGCATTAAATAGCTGGGTGAGAGTGAAAACGGCGCAGTATGGGAGCTCAATGATCATTTTTGAGTTATAAGGTCGCAGCCCGGGGATTTTTTCGGATTCAGTTCACTTTTCATGATGTTAACGATTTTGTTTGGGGAAAACTCAATTGGGTCATGTTGAGGTTGGGGCTCATATGATAGAGTCGGCAAAGTAAACGCATTGGTGGTGTAATGGTACGGCTGGTAATAGTTTTTGCCACAGCCTCGGTTGGAGAGGGAATCGGACGTTCAGTGCACTATGCTGCGCTCTGCGCTCAGCTCGCCGGTATTGGGGTCGGGGTTTTTCCTATACCTATGTTCTCCTTACTCACCACACATGATAAATGAAAGTGCACTTCTTGACTCTACTCTACTAAATACAAAATTAACCAAAAATATCAGCATAATGATCCCCATCGGTATAGTTGATAGAAAGAGGCAAGCAAATACGGTTGTGGTGATCATAGTTGGTATTGATCACCTGTTCTGTACCCGCCCTACCTTGGTAATGATATGGAAGTTTGGCATTACCCCTAACACAAAATCAATACGTGTTCTAACCTCGATAATTCCTCGGCATTATGTAATTAGACAGACTCAGCGATATCTTCAAATGTTCATACTTTAATTAAATTCCAAAAATGATAATACTTATAATTATACATTTTCATTTTTCCTTCAAAGGGTTGTACTTAATATTCAAATCATTTTGCTCTAAATTAATTTTAATTTAAATGCTAAGAAATTCAACTTCATTCATTGTAATTTTAACAAAAGCCTAAGGGTTAATTCATTTCCAAATAATTTCAAGTACCACTTACATTAACCTACAACAAGATCTTGGGCCCAACAAACTGTTGGTAGCTGTGGAACAAGCGTTAGTAAATATATATGTCGGATCATAAATTATGGTAGTCAGTGTATGGGGAGTCAAAACAAGTGTAACGACTCTTATCGTTGCACTCTAACGATTGTTAGTGCGCTTTATTCTACCTATTCGCCAGGTGCGAACATCTTGCGTGAGGTTAGAGGTTTGAAAAAGGGTTACGCACTAGGCGATTGTCGTGCGTGTATGCTTGAGCGATAGCCCAGTTTTTCGGGATTCTAGGAGAGTCTAAAACAGGCAGTCGTGCGCTCAAGTTTATTCGCCATCTACAACCGCTTATTGATTATAATAAAAAATGGACAAGGAGAATCTTAACCCGACATATATATATAATATATGTAAATGAGTATGCATAAAGATAGTAAATATTTTAGGCTGACATTAATCGTTAGAGGCTGTACACATGATATTACTTAAACTAAAATTTTCAATTAAGGGCTCATCAAATTATTTAAACAAAAGAGAATTCAAATCAAAATTTAAATTATTTCAAAGTGGTTGACATTGGCACAGCTCTGACACAAGGGTTAATATTCAGCGGTGCCAAACTCTGGTTTTATTTCCAATACAGGGTGATTCGTGTACTCACGAAGAAAGGTTACATGTTAGGCAACGCCATGTGCTAAACTTTTTGGTTAATGTTGCAGCTTAGATGTTGTTGTTTTCACTTAAAGGTGGCTGCTGTCCTGTTGTCGCTCTAATTGCTCCACAGATTCCCCTGGGTAGGGTATCCCAAAAAGGTTATGGCGCATCCCACTAAGGCTAACTGCAAAGTTGGGACACCGGCGGCAGCAAGATTTAGAACACATATATGTATGTGTGTTTGTATGAAAGCGCGCAGCGCCAAGGCTGAGCCGGCCGCCGGTGACCAGAAGCTACGGAAGATTTACTAAATTAGCGTACACACACAACTCTGTATGACTTTTGCAAATTTACCTTCAAAAACTTCAAATCAAATCACTGGTTCACTACAGGTAGACTTTGGAGTCTCCTGATCGCTGCACAAAATTTGCGGTTCTCCGCCCACTTAGCCTAATTTTGGACTTGGCTATGGGTGCGGTTCCGAACACGTGGTTGGTTTTCACTCTTGAATTAAAATTTCTCGTTCACAAAAATTTTACGCACTGTGGCGGTAGAAGATCGGCAGCGAAATGATCGAATTGACCGAATATTCTAGCAGCGTGGCTATCTGTTCATGAGCTTTAACGGGACTATTCCTGGCAACTTAACGAAGTATGCGAGCGAGACAACTGTACAGTTTAAGCTGAAGCAGTATAGTTGATCTTAAAGCTTGCACACTCGAGCTAGTTAAACCCTTAGCTGACCTAATAAATTTGTAAGTCCGTTATAATTTAAAAATCTTTTCTTTCTGTTCACTGGCCACTACACCCACAGATTATGTTCCTGAAATTTCGAAGGAATCGTAATCTGAAAAAGGTCAGTGCGAATAATAAAGGTTTATGTTTTCTGGATATCCTTTAGGTGGTAACTCCTCCTACCGTTTTCGTTGGCTAATTCGTAGTACACTGGACTGAGTTTTCGTTTTACTGTGGCTGGAATAAATACATGCGCTAATTTGTGACTGAATTCCTTACTAGCATTGCTTTAAGTATATTTTTGCATTAGCCTCATAAGCCTTCGAGGTATTGATCTTAGCCTCTAGTCTAGCCAACTGCAAAGCATTTGGATAAACTAATCTAGTATCTTCTGAGAGTAAATTGAGTTTTCGCAACAATTCATAGTCTTTTCCACACAAAATCATGTTTTGTCCGAAAGTAAGAAAGTAAGGTGAAAATCCGGTGGTTGTATG